AGAGTTGGAGTGCAGGGGCAGAATGCAACCTTCCTGGAACACCAGGAACCAGCCTTCCACAGCCCAGCCTGCCGCCTCCTCCAATGGCACCTGGGACACCCCACATTCCACTCAGGCCTGGCCAGCCATGTTTCATGGCCACAGCCACTGCCACACACACACACACACTTACCCGGGCTCCACCTCGGTGCGGCCTGTGCCCACTGTTGCCTTTTGGTCATTGCCAGCCTGTTGCCCATCGGAGGCGGCGACGGTGTCCACTGTAAAGCAGGGGCAAGGTAGCCTCAGTGAGACCAACGCACGTGAGGGTCCACAACGAGCTAGCCCCAGCAGCCATGGAAGACCCATGCCCTCAGCTCATGCCTCAGTCTGCCTGGGCACCTGCCCCCCACACGCTGCACAACCTGGCACCGATGGCTGGCCACATGGCCTCTCAAAGCCTGCAGTGCCCTCCTTTCCTCCCTCCCGCCCTCCGTCCACAGCGGGCCTGGTGCTGGACACTCCAGGAACCCGTAGCCTTGGCAAGCTGGCAAGCCCTCTTGGGGTACACACACGGGCACTGCAAATGGGGCCGGTTGCACGGCACATCTGCAGCTATTCTCATGCACGGGTCGACCGTTCAATCACAAGCCCATGGTTTCTGGTCACGCCCGCTCCTGGCCAAGGTCAGGAATCCGGCTCCATATTGCCCAGGGAACTACCCTTGCCTCACCACCTCGTTCCAGCCAGGCATCGCACCCTGGAGGTCAGGGCTAAAGGGGCCACGCGAGAGGGTGAGGGATTTGGGAACAACTTCCAGCCACCAGCACCAACAATGCCCGCCTGGGCCCACAACAGGCTCGGGGCGTGTCCTGGGGCTCTGGACACCACAGGAGCCATGCGTGAACGAGCAGCCCTGGGGCCGAGCAGCCCCACGGCATCCCATGACATGACTCACCTTCCACCGGCTCGGCCGAGCTCAGTGGTGCCTCTACAGCTGTGCTAGGGCTGGGGACCACGCGCATGGGGCTGGCCTCTGGGGCCCAGTCATGCAGCACTTCTGCAGCCTTGTAGGCACGGGCGTTCTGTGGGAAAATGTGGGCCACGGACCTGGCCCTGAGGAGACAGGACGGGGAAGAAGTGAGGTGAGCGCTGCTGGGCCTCAGGGCAGGACCGAGGGGCCCGGGTCCTCAGCAGCCACCACTGCTGGCGCTCGGCCTCCCTTCTGGGCCCAAGGGCACAGGGCCACAGGGGAAAACAGCGTGGCAGTGGCAACCCATGCAACCGGGGGCCTCAGCAACGCATGCCTGGCACCAGGGCACCCGCAGCTGGAGGTTAAGGAAAGAGCTCGGAGACCTCTGGGGACCATGGTCCAGGCAGGGTGGTGCTGGGACCGTGTGGGGACATGCAGGAGGTGGGGGGCCGTGCAGGAGGCTGGTTCTGCAGCAGAGGACCCCATCTCACCGCCCACCCCAAGGCCCTGCTCTCTCCCGCTTGCATTCAGTCAGGGTCCGGTTAGAAGCAAGCCCGTGCATGCTGGTCAACACCAAGGTGCTGGTATGCTAGGCCTGGGACACTTCCATGAGCCTGGCCCTGGCGGTCCCCACCACCAAACACGCCACGGGCTGCCCTGGCCACCTTTCTCTCTGCTCGCTCTCTGTCCCCGACGCTGGCTGCACCAGCTGCCGCAGCAACAACACACATCCTACACCCACACTTTGCCCAGCACCAAAACAGAGACTGCGATGGGGTACTCCTTTCATGGGGCCTCACGGAGATGGGGCACCACGCACAACCCACGAGGCGGTTGATCTCTGGCCCCTGCGCTCCCAGGACCCAGCAGGACCCAGAGGCACACAGGCAGCACCCCAGGGGGCTTCTACACAAATGGCTGACAGCCAGCACCAGGGACAGCTCTTGGCAAGGCACAGTGCCAAAGCCTCTACAGACCTGGCGGGCCCTGACCATAGCAGAGTTGGAGTGCAGGGGCAGAATGCAACCTTCCTGGAACACCAGGAACCAGCCTTCCACAGCCCAGCCTGCCGCCTCCTCCAATGGCACCTGGGACACCCCACATTCCACTCAGGCCTGGCCAGCCATGTTTCATGGCCACAGCCACTGCCACACACACACACACACTTACCCGGGCTCCACCTCGGTGCGGCCTGTGCCCACTGTTGCCTTTTGGTCATTGCCAGCCTGTTGCCCATCGGAGGCGGCGACGGTGTCCACTGTAAAGCAGGGGCAAGGTAGCCTCAGTGAGACCAACGCACGTGAGGGTCCACAACGAGCTAGCCCCAGCAGCCATGGAAGACCCATGCCCTCAGCTCATGCCTCAGTCTGCCTGGGCACCTGCCCCCCACATGCTGCACAACCTGGCACCGATGGCTGGCCACATGGCCTCTCAAAGCCTGCAGTGCCCTCCTTTCCTCCCTCCCGCCCTCCGTCCACAGCGGGCCTGGTGCTGGACACTCCAGGAACCCGTAGCCTTGGCAAGCTGGCAAGCCCTCTTGGGGTACACACACGGGCACTGCAAATGGGGCCGGTTGCACGGCACATCTGCAGCTATTCTCATGCACGGGTCGACCGTTCAATCACAAGCCCATGGTTTCTGGTCACGCCCGCTCCTGGCCAAGGTCAGGAATCCGGCTCCATATTGCCCAGGGAACTACCCTTGCCTCACCACCTCGTTCCAGCCAGGCATCGCACCCTGGAGGTCAGGGCTAAAGGGGCCACGCGAGAGGGTGAGGGATTTGGGAACAACTTCCAGCCACCAGCACCAACAATGCCCGCCTGGGCCCACAACAGGCTCGGGGCGTGTCCTGGGGCTCTGGACACCACAGGAGCCATGCGTGAACGAGCAGCCCTGGGGCCGAGCAGCCCCACGGCATCCCATGACATGACTCACCTTCCACCGGCTCGGCCGAGCTCAGTGGTGCCTCTACAGCTGTGCTAGGGCTGGGGACCACGCGCATGGGGCTGGCCTCTGGGGCCCAGTCATGCAGCACTTCTGCAGCCTTGTAGGCACGGGCGTTCTGTGGGAAAATGTGGGCCACGGACCTGGCCCTGAGGAGACAGGACGGGGAAGAAGTGAGGTGAGCGCTGCTGGGCCTCAGGGCAGGACCGAGGGGCCCGGGTCCTCAGCAGCCACCACTGCTGGCGCTCGGCCTCCCTTCTGGGCCCAAGGGCACAGGGCCACAGGGGAAAACAGCGTGGCAGTGGCAACCCATGCAACCGGGGGCCTCAGCAACGCATGCCTGGCACCAGGGCACCCGCGGCTGGAGGTTAAGGAAAGAGCTCGGAGACCTCTGGGGACCATGGTCCAGGCAGGGTGGTGCTGGGACCGTGTGGGGACATGCAGGAGGTGGGGGGCCGTGCAGGAGGCTGGTTCTGCAGCAGAGGACCCCATCTCACCGCCCACCCCAAGGCCCTGCTCTCTCCCGCTTGCATTCAGTCAGGGTCCGGTTAGAAGCAAGCCCGTGCATGCTGGTCAACACCAAGGTGCTGGTATGCTAGGCCTGGGACACTTCCATGAGCCTGGCCCTGGCGGTCCCCACCACCAAACACGCCACGGGCTGCCCTGGCCACCTTTCTCTCTGCTCGCTCTCTGTCCCCGACGCTGGCTGCACCAGCTGCCGCAGCAACAACACACATCCTACACCCACACTTTGCCCAGCACCAAAACAGAGACTGCGATGGGGTACTCCTTTCATGGGGCCTCACGGAGATGGGGCACCACGCACAACCCACGAGGCGGTTGATCTCTGGCCCCTGCGCTCCCAGGACCCAGCAGGACCCAGAGGCACACAGGCAGCACCCCAGGGGGCTTCTACACAAATGGCTGACAGCCAGCACCAGGGACAGCTCTTGGCAAGGCACAGTGCCAAAGCCTCTACAGACCTGGCGGGCCCTGACCATAGCAGAGTTGGAGTGCAGGGGCAGAATGCAACCTTCCTGGAACACCAGGAACCAGCCTTCCACAGCCCAGCCTGCCGCCTCCTCCAATGGCACCTGGGACACCCCACATTCCACTCAGGCCTGGCCAGCCATGTTTCATGGCCACAGCCACTGCCACACACACACACACACTTACCCGGGCTCCACCTCGGTGCGGCCTGTGCCCACTGTTGCCTTTTGGTCATTGCCAGCCTGTCGTCCATCGGAGTTGGGAAGACGGAGGCAAGGCGGCGGCGGCGGAGTCCACTGTAAAGCAGGAGCAAGGTAGCCTCAGTGAGACCAACGCACGTGAGGGTCCACAACGAGCTAGCCCCAGCAGCCATGGAAGACCCATGCCCTCAGCTCATGCCTCAGTCTGCCTGGGCACCTGCCCCCCACATGCTGCACAACCTGGCACCGATGGCTGGCCACATGGCCTCTCAAAGTCTGCAGTGCCCTCCTTTCCTCCCTCCCGCCCTCCGTCCACAGCGGGCCTGGTGCTGGACACTCCAGGAACCCGTAGCCTTGGCAAGCCCTCTTGGGGTACACACACATGGCTCTGTGACTGGAGCCTGTCACTGGTACAGCATAAGTAGGTTACCCTCTTTAGTGGGACAGTCAGTGGTCCTGACAACATCACCTACACCCATCAATTGGAATCCTTAATGTATTCCCCTGTGCCCTACATGTCGGACCACCTGCCACCCTTCACCACATTTGCCTGTTTGGCTAGTACATATGTGTGTGATTTTATATGCAATGTAAGCTTGTATGTCAGTACATATAACAGAACCTTCGGTATGAAATACTCAACTAACTACTTTGAAATATCTTGTTTCCTTGTAACAGTGACAGGTACTGTTGCAGAAATACTTCCCTGTTCATGCCTTGCTTATTCCATATTCAGTAAACTTAAAGAAAATATATATACTATTTTCTCAGAGGGTGGTAACAATGACAGTGTCGTCGATGAAGGCAACAGAAGAATTAGATGTGCAATTTACAGCCATACTACCCTGACCACGCCCGATTTCATCTGATCTCAGAAGCTGGGCAGGGTCAGGCCTCGTTAGTACTTGGATGGGAGCATTACACGTGGAAAACATTTCATGACCCAGAATGATAACATAATGATTCATCACTCTGTTGGGAGGAGCTACAGAACTTACATAATTGTTTCACGCGTGCTCTATGTGCTATCTCCTGTTGTTCGATGGCCTTCAATTTCTCCTCTATTCTAGCTTCTTCTAGAATGAGCTGCTTTAACCTGATGTCGAGATTTGATATGGCAGTCATAGGATCAAGTGGTTTTGCCATCTTGCTCGCAATTCAGTACCTCACCAATTCAGGGACTAGCATGAAGAAACACAAGCAGAGAAGCAGTTAAAATCAGTCAAATACTGTGGTCCTCATCAGCAGTGGACGGTGCCTTTAAGTATCATTTGTACTTACTTACACTTCTGTGGGGGGGAACCCCCCCCCACAGAAACTGCAACTTTTTAATATATAACTGGTATATAAAAACTATAATTCAGAAATAACTGTAATTCAGTTTTTCAGTAGCTATTCCCAAGTTAAGCTCGAAGGCCCTCCTTGTCAGCCAACTGCCAGGCAGTTAGAGCAGCAGCGTTTGTTTGAGTCATGGAATCTCCAGAGCCCCCGCCTTCCAGTTGCCCGGGCCACTGGTAAACAAGGTCACCTGCCCTTTAAAGGGACCTGCCCTCATCCATCAGTCTTGGGAGTTGTGGTCCCCAAGACTGATTTCAAAGTCCTGCCTTTTTCACTATAACAGAGAAGCACATCTCTCCCTGCCCATCACTCTCTGTGGTTGTAAAGCAGGATGGCAGAATTAGCTTTCAAACAAGTGTTGCTTTCTCAAGAACTGCCAGGAAGTCACTCCACCTTTCCCAGGCTTTTCCTCCAGGGAGACATGCCACGTTATAAACCACGCGCAGTCTTCTCTGTGTTTCGGCAGGCTTTCCTATGTCCATTAAATAGTCTAGGAACAGAAGCAGGGGACAGTACAAAGTGAACACATAATTCATTTTCAAACTTTGTTTGTGTTCTACCTCAAGAGGGTGGCACTCCAGATTTGGGTTGCCTCTCTTCCCTCACCCAGGCTGTATGTGGGAGCATCATTCCACTAAGGACCTGTCTATACACATCTTGCATCCTGTATCCATGTCCTTCCTCTGAGTTGGGGGCTTTGTTTTGCTCCCAACGTCAACTAAAAAGAACACTTCCTATGTATCACAACTTTCATCTCAGCTCCACAACAGACTTTTCCAACATAGCAAATGATTCAAGTAGTTTACATATAATTCAACAGAACAGGGCTTAATGGCAATTTTTTTCCTTCAGAGTGAAGTCTTCAATTTTTTAGGAAAAAAAAATGTTGTAAAGTCAGTAATGCAAAGAGAAGGAAAGACAGAAAGATTTTCCATCTGCTGGTTCACTCACCATGTGGACACAATGGCTGGAGCTGAGTCGATATGAAGCCAGGAGTCTGGAGCTCCTTCTGGGTCTCCTACATGGATGCAGGGTCTCAAGGCTTTGGGCCATCCTCCACTGCCTTTCCAGGCCACAAGCAGAGAGCTGGATGGGAAGTGGAGTGACCAGGACATGAGCTGGTGTCCAAATGGAAACATGCAAGATGAGGATTTAGCCACTAGCTGCCGCACCAGGACCGTCATTTTTTAACTCTATTTTTTATGATACAGTTCCTTAGGCTCAGGGTTTTCCCCTACTCCCCTCCCTTCCCCTACTGTTTTCTGCTATATTGTAACAGTTTAGTCCATCAACAATGATCACAAATCCATCATCCTGCTATTGAAGCGTATACAGATAGTGTAGGTATAAAGAATGGCATGAAGTCCAGCATTCTAGTGTCAAGATATATTTCACAGTTTCAGTGGTTTGGAAGCTGATGGATTTTGGCCTTTTTGTTTTTCATTATGGCTGGACCCTACTGAATGGCACTGCACTCCACTAACTACTTAGCATCGTGAGGATAATGATCATGCCTGCCTGGTACCTGGTGCCTGACAACTGCCTACTTGGCAGCACTCACCTCCTGGCTCCCTTGGCTTCCTGCCCGTCCAGCCTTTGTGGACCTGAGACTCTGGGGACTCTGGTGCGGCCTGGGTCTCTTCACAACATGTAAGATGTTCAGGAACATCGTCCCCTGCAGCTGCCTGCCTGGGCTCAAGTCCCAGCCTGGCTTCCTCCTCCAGGTTCCTGTGCGTGTGTATTCTGGCAGTCACGACAGCAGATACATAACCAACACACTGGTCTCAAATTAAGTTCGGGTCTCCTGCCTTCAGGCTGACCCAGCCTTAGCTGTTGCAGCCACTTAGGTAGTGATTCAGCAGAGGAAGATCTCTTGGTCTCTCTTGCTTGCTACCCTTCCCTCTTCCTTTCCTTTGGAAATAATTTAGAAATGCATAAATATTCCAGAAAGAAGAAATGATGGGGTGAGACACTATAGAAAGACACAAAGAAAGTCAGGTCACGTCAATAAATGAAAAGTCGAATTTTCCTATAAGACTGGCTTATTTTCTATATACGTTTTGAAATAGAGTACAAGGGTTAAAATATACAAGGGTTATATGTTCATCTATAGCTAATGAATAAAACAGAGCCATCTTGAAAAATGCAAAAGGAACAAAATGTAATGAGGGTGGGCATTTGGCTGAGTGGTTAAGACACTGGGAAACCCTTGCCCCACAGGAGGACCTGAGCTTGATGCAGATCTCTGCACTCCTCCAGCTTCTGGCTCATGCAGACACTGCTGAGAGTTCAAGTCATTGGATTCCAGCTACCCATGGAGGTAATCCCAAGTGAGCTGCTAGTTACTGGCTTCAGCCCCAGCCCAGGCCAGCTCAGCCATGTTTGGGGACTGGACCAGCAAATGACAACACTCTCTCCTCCAGTCTCTCTTTCTTCCTGAATTTGAATATATTCAAGCCCATAAATATAAAAATAAAGAATTAATTAAATTTGGATTTAAAAGTCCCACAATATTGGTACTACTAATACTAGGACTACTTTTTTTTTTTAAATTACATTGCATTATGTGACACTGTTTCATAGGTTCTGGGATTCCCCCAACCCCTCCACATACCCTCCCCCCATGGTGGATTCCTCCACCTTGTTGCAGTAGTACAGTTCAAATTCAGTCAAAGAGTCTTTCATTGGAAGCATATACCAAGCATAGAGTCCAGCTTCTTACTGTCCAGATTAATTCAACGGTTTCTTGGGGAGACCATCTCTGGTCTGAAGGCAGAGCATCATCCCGATCTATTAAAAGCCACAACATAACAATTTACAACATTATGGAATTAATTGACATGGTATTGAGTAACCAATATGTTTTTAAAAATGCAAGTTCTTAACTAAATCCTGTGACTACTTCATAGACAATTCATTTTTAGTTTATATATGAACGGCTTCTACTCACCTTAAAATGGCTATAGGGTACTATTCAGCTGTCTTGTGTCTATTTTCATTTTAGTATTTAGCAATTTATAGTAACACGAGGACTTCTTATGAAGTCATAGTAATGAAATGTTACATTTCACTACTCCCTCTTGGGTTTCCACTCCTACTGGAGACCATGAGAACCAGAACTGGGGCAGGCATAGCTAGACAGAATGGCACCCCCTCCCCCAGCATGTCTGTGGGCTGGATAGTAGGGCTGGTTGGGTTCAACTGGGCTTCAATGCCCATTGACTTGTATGAGAGCTGACATGTATGGGATGCGTCATAGACTGGACCAGTCTACTGTACATACTGGCAAGCACAAGAACCAGGGCAGTGGGCAGGCCTGGTTGGGATTATTGTGGGTTGCTCTGACTAGGCTGAAGCTCCCACTGATTTGTGTGAAGGTTGAGTGTATGGTGGGCACAATCAGGCTGGACTGCAATATCCATTACTTTGCATGGAAGACAGGGCTGGAGACAGAATTGACCCAGAAATTGCAACCACCAGCATACGCATAAGCTGACTGGAGCGACCAACTGTGCCAGACCTTGTACTGGCATGAACACACAAGTATCAGGTCAGATATCATCTCAGAAAAAGTATCTCTGGGGATCACTCCAACTGAACTGATCTCAGAACCCCAACCATGAAGAGAAGTGCAAGTTCCATGGTCTGACCATGGAGTGCAAGCGTCAAAGCTGAGCCTCCTCAGAGGCTCACGCGGAGCAGTGGACAGCATACCCAGGTACACATGGAGGATATGGAAGTCCATCGGAACCTGCAGAGGACACCTGGTACTACAACAGAGCATGGAGGACAGAAAAATTAATCAAGTACCCCAGCCATGTGTTGGCAGTGAAAATCTGGACAAATGGAGATCTAAGGTGGACTATTTCAGCCAGCGCATTCTGGAGTGATTTCATCATGTTTGGAATGACAAGATTTGCAGCAATCCAAAGCTGCTCAACTATCAAGACCACTTGAGCAGTGCCCTTGGACCATGCCCCGAGTCGGGGACCCTGGGATGGGATATGAGGCTGGGTGGGGTTTCTCCCTTTATTTTCCTCCTTACCCCACATACAGAAAAAAAAATGTGGAAACAATGGTCTTACCCACTTTCCTGTAGCCTTGACCCTTTGTATGCTAATCAACTATGTAAAGATTATCAAAATTTAAAAATAAATGAATTCATAAAATAAATGTCTCAGAGCTAGTAAACAAAGAAAGGGTAAAGTAATATATAAATTCATGGGAAGCAATGCAGAGTGGGGAAGGAGACCTCTGTGGGTAAGGTGCACAGGTGATTATTAAGCAAGCAATAATCATGTCAATCAGTAATGCTGGCACAACTGAACGTCTTCGACTTCAATAAAAAAAAATCAAGTCCAATGCAATGCCTCAACAGCTAAGGCTTCATCTTGCAAAAGCTGAGACCCCTTTGGGTGCCAGCCCATGTCCCAACTGCTCCACTTCCCATCCAGCTCCCTGCTTTTGGCCCAAGGACTCGGGACCCTGCGCCTATGTGGAAGATCCAGAAGAGGTTCCTAGCTCCTGGCTTCAGCTCAGCTCAGCCCAGCTCCGGCCACTGCATCCATATGATGAGTGAATCAGCACTTGGAAGATCTTTCTGTATCTCCTTCACTGTGTAAACCCAATCTACCTGTCTAACAGAAATGTATAAATCTTAAAGAAAATCAAGACAGAGACTTTAAGACTTCCCAAATTAGGTTTAAGATTTCTAACACAAAAAGATCTAGGCAACCTTGTCCACTGCTGAGGAATTCTTTTAAAAAATAACACAGACCATCAAAGAAGGGATTATAAATGTCACTAAAAAGAATCTGTGAACGATGCCGTGAGGAGTGTGAGAAGTCAAGTCACTGACTATGAAAACCTGCTGGGGAACTGACCAACCTCACAAAGCCCTGCTAAGCCACACGCACGGAGCTCCAGCGGAGAGCAGTGCATCCACTCTGGTTCACCCACCATGATGCACAGACCACACTGAGGCAAGGTGGGACACGCCAGGAGTCTCTGCACTATCTGCTCACGTTAACCCAGAACTCTTCTAAAACTAAAACTTGTCATTTTCCTTCAAGTCAGAATAGAACTGAACCAAACCAAACTGCTGCTGGCTTCTTTTTTTTTTAAGGTTTATTTATTTTTATTAGAAAGTCAGAGATACAGAGAGGAGGAGAGACAGAGAGGAAGATCTTCCGTTCAATGATTCACTCCCCAAGTGAGCGCAATGGCCAGTGCTGTACAGGTCTCCTACAGGGGTGCAGGGTCCTAAGGCTTTGGCTGTCCTCAACTCCCTTCCCAGGCCATAAGCAAGGAGCTGGATGGGAAGTAGGGCTGCCGGGATTAGAACCAGTGCCCATATGGGATCCCGGCACTTTAACCACTAGGCTGTGGCACCAGGTCCTTGCTGGATTCTTACAAGATATTCATTAGTGCTACATACTGCGGTGCACCAACCAGGAATCGAGGCAGGTGAGGACTTCTGTGCACATGCTTCTGCCTGTGGATATCACTGGAACCCAGGTGGTCCACCACTGCAATCAAAGCAGTCTCCTCCTCAGAAAGCGCAGGGAGACCAGGGGGTATCTGGTAAGCAAAAGGAGACATCACTAACCATATCAGGACACTGAAGGTACTCCAAGCCACGGAAATCTTAGCTCGCCCAGCAGCACCTGCACATCAAAGCAGCAGACCAGGAAACAGGAGCGCTGCAGAGTGAGCTTCCTCCCTGTAACATTAGAGCAGCTCCAAATACAAGCACATTTTAAGAACCGGGAGTCAGAACAAGCAATTGGATGACGGTTAGAACATCTGAGGACTAGAACATACTGTGGTCTGTGCCACCAATCTTCCCCAACAGGCACTTGATAACCAGAAATGGCAAGAAAGCGAAGGCTTGTAAACCACAGCTTCTTGCCAAGGGGTGACAGCCTGATCACAGCCCCTGTATTCTCTCCCCAAAACACATTCGCACGCCTCTGACAGTGAACAGCT